GCTCCCCCAACAGGACCATTTAATGTAGACCCCTTCTCCTACAAGTTCAGCTCACCCACTGAGAAGCTTAGCACCCTCCCAACGCAGTTGCCGTTCCAGGGGCTCACAATCCAGTCAAATGGACAGTCAGGATTAGATGGTACAAGCTACAGCCCTTGCATCTACTATAGTGAGCGTTGATTTCAGGTAGAAGTGATGTAATAACATACTGGTACTTTTCTTTTCAGGAGTAGTAGGGATTGAACCCAGGAAGCCCTAGACTATATTCACACCAATCTTAAATTTTATTTTAAGAGAAGTTGTCACTGAGTTGCTAAGGTGGATGTCACACTTGCAAAGCTTTTGTTAAGCAGGGCTTCTAGGTCTGCCCTAAGGCCAAGGTCGGTGATGGGTCAGGACTCAAAGTCCTGGTACCTTGCCCCAAACATTCCCTCCCTTGGCTTCCTAAGTAACCTACACCAACCCCAGTCCAACCATGCCCTACATTGTACTCTGGTCTTTGACCCATGTTGGTCTGAGCTCACTCCCTTCTGACATAAACAAAATTAAACCACGAGGAAGATAAATGATGTCCACCTGCAACCTGGATGTTCCAGCCATCAATCACCTTCCTTGAGAGATCCTAGATGTTCTCCTGTCCCCCCCTTTATTCCCTGCTGTCTTGGTCTGCTAGACCAAGCCTAGATGCCCCAGTGAATCTTCTATGTGCTTCAGAATGCCTGGTCTGGTTGGTTACATGGGTTTGCACCTAACATTTGGTGCCGAAAACCCGACAAGGATACCAAGGCTTCTGCCAGTCCCTTGATCAGGATTCTGCCCTGGTCTGCTGCCAGCCTTTCTGAGCAAGGGGGCGAGCCTCGGACCTCCCTTGCTGACCTAACACCTAAAACTGAGTATTTCTTTATCACTCATCCCATCCATTTTAAAATTCAGAGTCCAGAGTGCTAACCATTACACTATGGAATCTACACACCATCTTAAAATTCAAACCTCTCCCATTATCCAACTTGTTGGGAAAACAAAACAAAGAGGGTCATTTCTCCCTGGGGATTTGCTGCCTACAGTTGACTCTTTCCATTTATCGATGACAAATGTCTCCACAGCTCTTTTCCCAACTTTCTTTCTTTCTTTTTTATTTATTTGGTGGAACCAGGGGTTGAACTCAGGCCCTTGCACTTGCCAGACAAGTGCTTATTCTGCTGAGCCATCTCCCCAGCCCTTGAGCCATCTCCCCGGGCCCCAGCTTTAGTCCAGACAAGATCACTTTCTGTACTTAATTTTCTCTTTCTTTCACTACACATCTTGAAGATAAGACTCATTTGCCTCTGCCTCCAGCCCTCTCCCCTGTGACTCTTTCAACTCATACCTGGGATAGATAGCTTCTGATTTCTTTCTGGGTTCCTTCCAGGATTTCTCCAACACTGAGGTCCTCTTGTGCTCTCCCTTTCCTATTTCATCCTGATTTCTTCCAGAGAATGACTATGTCTAATCTGGACAGCTTCTCTCCTGGCTCTATGCCTCTAGGCCAGCCCTAGGCCTACTCTATGAAGACCTGTGAACATGGTGAGCTGCTTCTTCCCCCTACTCGGCCTCCTCTTTGAATGGGGACACCTGCTCGGAGGGCTTTGGCTCTACACCCCTTTTTGGGACTCTCACAACAAGATTGTCATGTTCAGTCACCTCTCACCCCGCCCCCCATCTTCTCACCACTATGGGCAATTCCTCTTCAATACCCTCTCACAACTATTCTTCTGTCCTAGACTGTGTGTTAAGACTGTCCTTAGAGGCCCCTTAGGCTTCTCTGACCTCAAAGTCAAATGCCTAATTTTTCTCTGCCACAGCCTGGCCACAATAAAAGTTGGACAATAAGACCATCTAGGCCCCTCCAGGAACTCCTAAGGATGATACCTTTGTTAGTTTAGATAACTTTTGTCACCTCAATGGGAAATAGTCCAAGGACCCCTACCCTGCTTTCTTCTCCCTCTGCAATCACCAGGAACTCTGCCTAACTTATAGCCCCCAACAGATCCTGTTAGCCAAAGCCCCTACCGAGCCGCTGCCCACCTTGTGACTTGGATGGGCAGCATGTGAGGCGCCTGGGGGCACAACACACCAGTCCTGAGCCCCTGTCTATCTACCAAGCCTCTCTCCTTTGGAACCTGCCTATTTGCTGGTGACAGCCTGCATCCAACACCAGTCCAGATGAGCTGAGTCCCACCAAGATTTCCGGTCCCAGATTGAGGGGAAGCTGCCTCCATGGCTCTTACCAGAGGGTTACTACTCTTGTGTCCTGCTAAGGACGAGTGGCTCCCCCTCCCAGTTCTAAAACTTCGGGCCTCTGTCCAAATTTTTCTCCATCCAGAGGACAGAACAGACTGTGTTCACAT